GCTCCCCTCCCTCCTTCCTCCGCCTCCCTCCAACGCAGCTCTGGCCACTTGGACGCCGCAGGCTCTGAGGCCGGAGCCGCAGCCACTGCGCCTCGAGCTCCTCGCACTCCGACGAGGTCCGCCCAGGCTCAGCTCCTCAGCGCTCCCCGTCTTCACCTCTATTCCCGCAACTTTACAAAAAACAAAACAAAACAAAACAAAAAAACACCTCTCGTGTTTTGTGAGGAGTGCATAGGCTTGGAGACCCACCTTACGGGGAAATCCGCCATCCCTCTGGCCCCTCTCTTCAGCCGGCCGCGAAGCTACGAGAACCAGTAGGGAGGGTTTGGCCGCGCCCCTCAGCTCAGGTGCGCGTAGGGCTGGGAACTCGTAGCCGAGAACTCTTGAAGCCTGAAGCTTGTTCAAAGACTCCACCCTTCCCAGAACGCTTTCCCCGTACTCAGTGGGCTCTAGTTCCCCGGGAAAAATGGGGGGGGTGTGTGTGCAGCGGTCCCTGTCCCCATTCCACAGATGAGGAAACTGATCCGTTAAAGGACATTTTGTTTCCTACACCATGGTCTTGGGGCACCCAAGTCCTGAGTCCTGGAGCTCAGGCGACTACATTGTGGTGTCCCGAGACCGTGGCCTGTGAACTCCGAGCCTGAAATAGTTCCTAGCACAGAGCAACGCTCTATATACACTGAAAGAGAGAACAAAAGCCCAGTGGGTACGTATTTGGGCCTGCATATCCTCCCCGTCACTCAATGCCCCCTCCATCTGCCCAGCTTGGGCTAATCCTAGGGCTGCAGATGCCTTCTCACCGCTTCAGGGACCCAGAGAGCAAGCTGTGGGCTCACTTGTATAATCCCAAACTGCAGAAAATCCCAAAGCAGAAAGTTTCTCCGATTTTGTTATTCGTGAGAGTGGGTTGTGCTTCCCCTACGAGAGAGAAAACACAGCTCCCAGACCAGAGACCCTAGCCGGAGACTGGGAGGTCGGTTGGGGAAGTCTGCCTAGGGTTAAACGTTACAGCCTGAGATCGATTGGGGCCCAGATAACAGGGAGTTAACTGCGGTGGCGACCAGGGTGCCTCCAGCTATAGGAGCGGTCACGGTGGAAGAAGTGAAACCAGCTCCCACCTCGCTACTTCCTCTCCTCCTCTGTGCGACCTGCTTGTGTGGTGGAGGGCCTGGGTCTCCTGGAAGCAGCCCCTGGCACCCACCCTACAAGCCTTCTAAGTTTGGCTTTGGGACCTTGACCCAGCCAGGGGATGGGGATGTGAGGGAGGTGTCAGAGGGGAAAGTTCACCTGGAATGTGTTGTCTCTCTACTTCCCCACTCCCCTCACCCCTGGCCTCCCAGGCCACACAGGGAATGACTCTCTAGTGGACACCCCCTACCTTCCTTCCACAAATGCTGAGAAGTGTCCTCCCTTAACTATGTACCAAGGAATGGCTCCCTAGGGGAGGCCCTTAGCCTCTCTTCTTTTCTCTAGCAACCTTCCTCAAGGCCACTCCGAACAAAGATACTGAGTGAGTAAAGCAAGGTACTTGCTCTGGGAACACAATTTTAGGACAAGTGAACACCTCCAGATTATCACCCCTAAACTACTTAGAGATATTCTGGGCCCCACCCTAAGTGTCTGGCACTGTGTTGGGCACTGACCATACAAGGAAAAAGGAAGCGGGGTCCCAGGCCTAGATGCTTCAGCATCTCCACTTAGCCTACCACCATCTAACTTTTCTGGGGAAGCTGAGGCCCACCCAGACTGTGAAGGGGGATCTGTTCCCCAGGAGTCAGCATTAGGCCTCAGGTGATTAGGATCCCCAAAATGAAACTCGGTCCTATAGGGCTGCCAAACCCTAGGGTGAGTGCAGTCAGGCCCTGCATACCTAGAAAAAGCTTCATGCTGAGATTCATGGCTGGGGAGGGGGGTGTGGAGAGGAAGTATTAATAGTTCCACCTCAGGGAATTACTGATAATTACCACTTTTTTTTGGAGAACTTGGCTCCCTTCCCTGACTCAGGTGGGCAAAAGCCAAGGGGCTACAGGCTATGATGGAGATGAGTCAGGGGATCCCAGTGGTAACTTTCTCAGGGAAGGGGTGTTGGCATATGCCTGACCTAGTTTAGAGGGTGGATATTGGAGTCTTTCTCTTCTCCTGGAAATTAAGAACTGGAGACCCTCACCTATCCACTCCAGGTGGGAACCAGAGAGGAGAGTGGCACAATGGTCCGCAGAGAAAATGCAACATGAGCAGGAAATGTCTTGTGCAAACCATCCATACAGAGCTCTCCACCATAACAAGTGAAACAAGACACCCAGGAAGGATTGGACAGAAGGTCTGTAGCCTTGGGGGATGTGAGCCCCCAACCCCTTCCACAAGAAGCAAAGGGATCCTGGTTCACTATTCCCTCCAAAAAGGAGAATTTGAGTTTCACATTGTTATTCAATCAATCAACTTAGATTCAGGTGTAAGTTCCATAAATCTCTCATACCCTTGGGGGAGACGGGGTCCTGCACCCACCTGCCCTGTCTTCTGGGTAGGAATGAGGGTAGAGGCCAGTACCCTGGCTCCTGCTCATAATATCCATGGCTGGCATTTACAAAGCCCGACCCTGAGCAGGGTATTGAGCTAAACAGTTAAGGTACCTTATCTCATTTAATCCTTACCTCAGCCCCAGTAGTAGTATCATCCCATTTTTCAGATGGGGAAACTGAAGTGAAACTGGCACCAAAGTTGTTTTCCTAACTCCTAAGATTTTCTATCCTAGTGAGGCTTCTCATATACAGACCTGCCTGAGGTTCACCTGTTCCACATCCTGTAGTGATCCCTCAGAGTCCACAGGGCTTAGATCAAGCCCCTTCCCTGACTTGGCCTGGCTTCTCTAACTGGTCCTATTCCTCGCTGCATTCCTAAGCCCCCCCCCCACCAACACCACCCAACACTGGTGGTCCCCTCAGACACCTCAAAACTCCCCTTCCAAGTGTCTATGGCTTTGCATGCACTATCCCCTCTGCCCAGAAGGGCCTTAATCAAGCTCACCTCATGAAATACTAAAGACCAAGAGCATGTATCACTCCACTGGGAACCTTCTCTTCAACTCCCTCCCTCATTTTGGCCCATATCTACTAAGCCACCAAAATAGACTTTGTGCAAATTAGAAAAAGCTACCACATTTTGGCAGATACTGTTACCCTCTTTTGACAGTAGGTCATGAGCTATCTTTCAGTCTTCCTAGCTCCCTTGGCCAGGTGCCTTTTTGTAGAGCATTGTACTCTTGCCTGGCTTTGGGGCCCCCTCTTCTGTCCCCTCCTATGGCCACAGTGACCACACTGCACAGAAATACTTTTTATTTGTCCATCTGTCTCCCTGTCCCCTCACTACCACCAACCACAAAAATTCTTTGCGGGTAAGGGAGAGTCTCCTACCTGCCTGAAGCCTAGGACTGAGTAGGTACTGCAGTTATGATTGTAGCCATCATCTTTGTGAGCACTTACTATGTGTCTGGCACCACACTAATTGCTTTCTGTGAATATGCTTATTAATCCTCAGACTCTGGTTGCTTAATGTTGCAAAGTAGCAAAACCAGGATTTAAATCTTTGCCTTGTCTGAGGGAATTTACCTTTTCCACAACTACCATTTATCAGTTAATGTCAGTCATTGATTAACATCCAATGACTGGGAATGGCTGCATGGAGAGGAGTGGAGGAGTTAGGGTTTCCAATAAAGATGGCAAATCCAGAGTCTGGCCTAATGTCTGCCTTCTCCTGAGGCTGAAGTTCCACCACCTGTATCACAGAGAATGAGAGCTGAGGCATTTGGAGCCCTACCTCAGGGCAGGGTGCAGGATAGTCTTCAGTGGGGTCACATAGGTCTGTGAACTCAGCCTAAATCCCAGAGCAGGCCTAGGGGTGCAAACGTGGGCAGGGGAAGAGAGAAGCTTAATTGCCCTTATATGGGTCCAGGCCTTTGGGGTCTTAGCGCTCACATACTGACAATTGGTCCTTAGGTCCCACCCCTCCCCCCATGGCCTCTGAAGGGACAAGAAAACTCTGAAACTACGGGGAAATTTCAGAAAAGCCAGGTCTGTTTCTTAGGAGGCCAAGGTCTGCCCATCCCTAAGAAGTCATTTTTGTGGCCCAGCCTGGCCCTGAGCAGTATAAACACGGGGGAGGGGAGGAGGGCATAAGGGGGACTCCAGTTCCAGAACAAAATGACTCTGGGGTGAGGTGGGAGGGAGCAGAGATGAGGCCAACACACACACTTAAACTTTGTATTTCCCTTTGACCAGGCACAGCTATATACATGCCAGAGACAACCAGACAGCCCCATTCTTGGCCAGGCACAGGGAACTCAGCTCATATGTGGAGGGGGAAAGGGAGTGGGACAGCTTAGGGGGTGTCATGCCCCTGACATTAACTCTTGACTTCTCTAGACACAATCATGGTTCAAATGTCTCTCCTAGGGAAGTGGGACTGTGTGCTCCCAGAGGCCAAAGCTGTGGCTCCAAGACCCCCAGGGTCAGGAAAAGGGAGGAGCCTGGAGATAACTGAATGGAGCTTTGGGGGAGGCGGTGCCACAGCATCCTAAACCGGGAGGCCCCAGACCCGGCCCAGAGGGACGGGAGCCCTGCCTGGCCTGAAAGTGCCCAAGACCTACAGGCTAGGGTGGAGGGATACAGAGAAAACTTGCTGGAGGTGGAGGGTGGGGCTCAGCCTCCCCTCCCTGATCTGGCCTCAGAAGGGAGAGCTGGGTCTTAAATGCCCCTCACAGAGACTTTAGAAAACAGGACCCAGCCTCTCTCCTCAGACCAGACCTCATCTACCAACCCCTACTATGCCTTCCTCTTCAGACTCCAGAGAATGGGGTGCTCAGGCAGTTGCCTCGGGGTAAGCCCAGGATGAACTGCTC